ACTGCAGGCTTTCCCTGAACAGAGTCCTTCCTCTGCCGTGTGCACACCAACAGTTTCTTTGCTGCCTGGGTGGTCCTAGGGCACCTGTTGAGGACTGTGTGCAGGGCTGCAGCCTGCTCGCTGTGTGTCAAGAAAGGGAGCTGAGCTGGTAGCCAGGGGCCTGGCACGGAGCTGCCGGCCCTCCTCTTCACCGCCTTCTCCTGCCGTCCTGCCTCTGCCCTAGATCTTGCTGTACTTGGCACCGCATGGGTGACAGACGAGACGGAGAACTCCCTGGACGTGGAGTGGGAGAACCCCCCGACTGAGGTGGATTATTACAAGCTGCTGTACAGCCCCCTGACTGGGCAGGAGGTGGCCGAGGTCACGGTGCCCAAGAGCAACCACCCCAAGAGCCGATATGACATCACGGGTAAGAGCCAGCACTGGGATGGGAGGGTTTGCTGTGGATGCTGAGGCGGGGACAGCGTGTGAACAGCGGGTCTTGGGGCCTTAGGAATCCCTTGAACCCTGACCCCGGAAACTCCCAGATGTGAGCCCACTCTGGAAGCCCGAGGACTCTGCTCCAGCATCCCAGAGCGACTCCAGAACCTCAGAGTAACTCCAGAATCCCAGAGCCCCTGCTTAACAGATGACTCACTCGACATGCTCATCCCGTGTCTCACCCAGTCTGTCTCCGGGGGATATGAGAGCGCACAGACTTTCCTTTTGGAAGAATGTGTGTGTGTGTTGTGTTTGTGTGTGTGTGTGTGTGTGTGAGAGAGAGAGAGAGAGAGAGAGAGAGAGAGAGAGAGAGAGAAATTGATGGAGATAATTTTTTCAGCATAATCCATGGAAGGAGTTGCTGGGTGGCTGGGCTCGGGGAGGTCCTGTCCCAGATGCCCGAGCTAATGCTGTGAGAACAGGAAATCAGAGGCTGCTAGGGGAACGGGCCATGCAGGGCTGGGTTATGTGTGTGACACCAGCACTCTCTTTAAGAAAAGCAGTGTGGCAATGATGAATACCCAATTCATCATGTGGCTCCAGCTGGGGTCTGCTCCTCCGTCTGCTCCGAGTTCCATGTTGAGTGGCCATCTTGGGGTCCCCACTGTGCAGTGAAAACCAGGGTCTCGCTCACACTGCTCTTTGCCTGCACTTGCCACCAGAGTCTGAGAGTTTGTGCCATGAGGAACAATCATTCAAGTTGGTGCTACAGAGAAATAACATAAGGCAGAGAAAAGAAAAAAGGGGGGGGGGGAATTAGGTTAATTATTACAGCGAGAAGGAAAGAAACATTTGAGGAAAAGGATTGTTAGGGGCAGAAAAGGATTGTTTGGGCTGTAAATACACTGGGAAGTCAGTGCTTGGTGGTGCACTGTGTGTGTATGTGTGTGTGTTAGAGAGAGAGAGAGAGAGAGAGAGAGAGAGGGGGGGGACGGGAAGCCCCCTCTCACCCCTCTGCCCCATCCCCACTGAAGGATAAGCCACCCCTTGGTGCTCGGTGCTGGGGCCCCACTGGTCCTGCAGCTCTTCACCTGCCTTACGTGGATTAGTCTGTGGGTGGGAAATCCTGGTGGGGGGCACAGTGCTGGGGTCCTGGCTCTGGAGCCAGTACTCAGACCCAGCACTGGCTGCTTGTTTCCAGGTCTGCAGCCCGGGATGGACTATAAGATCACAATTGTCCCCATGCGAGGAGACCTGGAGGGCAGGCCAATCTTCCTGAATGGCAGGACAGGTAAGAACTGCCTGGAGGCACCGGGAGCTTTTCTCACATTTGCCTTCTGATGTTTTTCTCAGCTGACTCCCATCTGGGCAAAACTCTGGGATTTGTGTGTAGAGATAGTCTATCTTTGTGTCTACCTTTGTGTCCTGAAGTCTGTTTTGGGGGGCAAAGGGCTGTTGGATTCAGATTGCAGAAACCTTTCAGATCACACTTTTAAAATTTACTACTACTACTATTATTATTATTATTATTAAAGGGCTTATCTTGCCCCTCTTGAAGCCGTCTCTCAGCGTAGGGTTCAAGCAGAGGCCAGTGTCCACCTGTCTCAGGTGGTGGAGACAACCTCTTGCATGTGTAAACTGTGGAAGGAGGTCACCCGGTGGAACTAGATCTTGAGCATCCGTGATCTTGACCAGCCAAATGACTTCTCTAATTTTTCTTTTTCACATATTTTTATGAAGAAATTGATGGCCCAACCAATGTGGTCACTGATCGAGTGACTGAAGACATGGCGGTGGTGTCCTGGGACCCCGTCCAGGCTGTCATCGACAAGTACATGGTGCGCTACACCTCCGCCGACGGGCAGTCCTGGGACACAGCGGTGCCCAGGGAGCAGAGCAACACAGTCCTCACGGGCCTGACGCCGGGGGAGGCGTACAGAGTCCACGTGTGGGCCGAGTGGGGTGGCCAGGAGAGCAAGAAGGCCAACACCACGGCCCTGACAGGTATGGACGGAACAGGATCCTCACTTCAGGGAGTGAAGCATCCATCTTATATAAAAACTGCTGTTTGAAATGTTAACCCTGCTATTTCTGGCTTCTGTAAATGCTTGCTGGCTTAAATAATAAGGAAAATAAGACTACTCCCATTTCAGAGAGGCCATTAAACCTTCTCCAGATGAAGTTATCAGTGCTGGCGTCAGGTCAAGCCTTGGTCGAGGTCTCAAAGCGCCAGCACATAGGGCCCTTTAAGAACCTGCAAAGGGAACCAGAAAAATCCCATATTGGGGAGACAAAGAGGGTAAGATGGTATAAATACAGGAAACTTCCTGTGTGATTTCGCCCAGAATTTGAGAGGCATTTTCCTCTGGGCCCGCGCGTAATAATAAATGTAACTCCATCTCTCTAAGCGTTGCTTGATTCTTCTCCGGTTTTTCTGTAACAGGAGGAAGCTGACTTTTGAATCAGGAGGCCGGTGTCCATCGGCCACAGCTCTTTTCTTTGTAAGGGTTGGGGTGGGGCTTGCAGAAGCAATTTCAAATTGTATAATTATGAAGTTTTTCATTTTTAAACCTCAAACAAAAGAGACCAGTCTTTTTATTTGATATAGAAGGTCACACTTATTTGGGTTGGAATTCCATACGCAGCTCCCTCAGAGAAGGGTAACTTACTTTCTAATTTTCATTTTTTGGTTGTGAAAACTCAAAACATTTGGAAGTTGAATGCTCGTCACAGTTTGCAGTGAAGGTACAGGCACTTCGAATGTGAACTGGAGCTCCCTTTCAGGTGTGGGAATGGTTCGTGTCCCGACTCAACACTCACCAAACTACCGATTCCGCCCTGAGGCTCACAGAAGCCATGAGTTCCCCATACTCCACCCAGCGCTCTGCTCAGTTCTGGCAGGTGTCCCGAGACTGCCTGGCATACCCAGGACATTCTTTCCGCTTATACCCTCCTCGGCACTATCCCTGGGTTCACAGAAGCTGGATCCTGGAGAACACTCGAGGCTTCCAGCACTTGACAGGAAATCATGGAGAGAGATTCTAACCCAGGTTAATCACATATACGCCCAACAGTTTCTACAAGTAGGGTTATTTCTATCAGCACAGACCTCAAATGCCATCAGTTAGAGTCTTGTTTTTTTGACCAGAGACATAATGTTTTTGTTTGTTTTCTAATGTTTTTTTAGTTGATTTTTAGAGAGGAAAGAAGAGGGAGAGAAAGATAGAAACATCAATGAAGAATGAGAATCATTGATCAGCAGCCTCCTGCATACCCCACACTGGGAATCGAGCTTGCAACCTGGGCATGTACCCTGACTGGGAATTGAACCTTGACCTCCTGGTTCATAGGTTGATGCTCAACCACTGAGTCATGCTGGCCAGGAGGCATAATGTTTGCAGTGGAAAGAACTGGCAGCTCCTATTTCCAGGATAATTTTCTTCCCCAAAACAATATTAGAGCAGATGTTGAGATTTATTGAAGTAGAATTTCTTTCAGGTACAAGGAGTTGGAAACTGAAAGAGCGCTTTCTATAAATTCAGTGGAAAGGAGAAAAAGACCAATTCTTTTTATCCAAAGGCAACTTGTGGAAAAAGTTTACAAAGTTGAGACTTTATGGTGGCTTTGTCTGCACACCCTACTTCTCATGAAATGCAATTAGACCATTCTTGAAATTTCAGACCACTTGTTTAATTAAACCCTCAAGTTATCTCAATCATTTGCATTTAACAGACTCTGAAATTTATCGAGGTCATCATTTGGGCAACCTGGCCTTTCACGAGCCAGAGAGTTGCTAAATGCTGCACTCTTTTCTTTCTCTTAAAGAAATTGACAGCCCCCAAAACCTGGTGACCGACCGGGTGACGGAGACCACGGCCACCATCTCCTGGGAGCCTGTGCAGGCCGTCATCGACAGGTACATGGTGCGCTACCCCTCCGCCGATGGAGACACCAGGGAGGTTCCGGTCGGGAAGGAGCAGAGCAGCACCGTCCTGACAGGCCTGAAGCCAGGCATGGAGTACACGGTCCACGTGTGGGCCCAGAAGGGGGACCGGGAGAGCCAGAAGGTCGACACCAAGGCCCCGACAGGTAACGAGAGAGGTGGTCAGTTGGAATTGAATTTTGAGCACTTGGTACCAAAAGACATGGCCTGAGTTGAGAGACTTTGCAAAGCAAGTCTTAACGCTCAAACAGGACAGTGAGTCTAGTGCTTATCTCCATGAGCTGCTCTTTCCAGCAGCTCTGAGCTGGTCATAAAAACCTCTACCTACTAGAAGAGAGACATAACGTTGTGCAGTAGCAGTGTTTTTAGCAGACTCAGCGGAGACGTTCAGAGGATGTGGCCATTGCAGTGCTGGTGGTAATACTTTCAGAATGATCACCTGTAAAGTAGCCCTTGATAAAATATAAATTAGGTACCCTGAATGTCATGGCAGATGTATGATGGATTGTTTTGATGTGCCATAATGTTGCAAAGAAGACATCATTGGCGGGAGCTGAAAGCCAAGAAAGTATGTCAGGTTTATAATGAGTGGTCCTCTGGAATTGAGAACCAGGGGTGACCTTTGCCCTCAACTCCCTCTCAGGGAGAGACTCAGAATGGGAATATCATTCCTTGTGCCAACAAAGCTCCAGACGATGAAATCATGGAGATGGGTTGGTGGGTATCTCTACCGTGACTTCAAAGCTTAAACTTTCCTAAATATTTTCTTAAGAAATTGACAGCCCCCAAAACCTGGTGACCGACCGGGTGACAGAGACCACGGCCACCATCTCCTGGGAGCCGGTGCAGGCCATCATTGACAGGTACATGGTGCGCTACACCTCCGCCGATGGAGACACCAGGGAGGTTCCGGTGGGGAAGGAGCAGAGCAGCACCGTCCTGACGGGCCTGAGGCCAGGTGTGGAGTACACGGTCCACGTGTGGGCCCAGAAGGGGGACCGGGAGAGCAGGAAGGCCGACACCAAGGCCCCGACAGGTAATAGAGAGTTGTTCTTCGGCTTCATACTTTGTTCTTATAAAGATAAATGGTGATCAGTCCCCTCCACCCACTGTTCCTCCCATTGTGTATTTCCTTTGTGATCAGTCACTAAATTATTTCTTCTTGAAAGGGAAAAATATAAAGAGGCTTATATGTTAGGATCTGTGAGCTAAGTACTTTTGGGCAATGGCTTTTGCTGTGATCTCTTTGGAACAAGAAGGGTTATTGTTTTCTTGGTGAACAAGTCCTCCTGAGCACTTTGTGCCCTGTTCTGAGGATCCTACGGTTAAAGTAATATTCAAGAAGAGTTCATACTTTTTAAATATTTTCATCTCTGTTCCCTGCCCCTCTGCTCTGTCTCTGGGCTAGAAGCCAGCTCCTCTGACTCTGTGTCTGGGCCTCATTCTACTGTGCTGCCTTCTTGAAGATCCAAGAGTCCAGCCATGCACAAAAGGTCTCCGTCCATGACACAACTGAAAAATTGCATATGGGATGGGGAACCTTAAGAACAGGAAGCTGTCTCACCCCAAACAACATGCCATGAGATCTCAGTCTGCTAATAGTGTTTATTGATCAGCATTTTCCTTTCAGACATTGACAGCCCCCAAAACCTGGTGACCGACCGGGTGACGGAGACCACGGCCACCATCTCCTGGGAGCCAGTGCAGGCCATCATTGATAGGTACATGGTGCGCTACCCCTCCGCCGATGGAGACACCAGGGAGGTTCCAGTGGCGAAAGAGCAGAGCAGCACCGTCCTGACAGGCCTGAGGCCAGGTGTGGAGTACACGGTCCACGTGTGGGCCCAGAAGGGGAACCGGGAGAGCCAGAAGGCTGACACCAGGGCCCCGACAGGTAAGGGAGCGTTGCTCTTGGGGAACGTAAGACCTGTCACACTAAGTGTATGGGTGGTTAATTTTTTTTTTTCATTCCTGACACTGGTCGAATCCATGATTTATGGAGAGAAGAATGGTGTCCCGTTATAATGGACTGTACCCATCATGCCCACTCCCTTTTACCTGCTTTCCTTACAAGTCAGGGCCTCATGGCTGTCTCCAAGCAACGATTTGCCATGATGGGCACATTGAGCCACATGAATCTTCTGTTGTGGACAGTGTTGAGGGTCCCCTACTGAGTTTGTGAGTGGGAACAGAAAAGGAAAACCCAATGTTGTTTATATTAATATGTTGAAAATTTAACTTTAAAAAAGTAGACTTTATATCTACCAGAGCAAGCTGATGTCTGTGGTTTGCTTTACAGTGAATGAACAATATGATGATTCTGGCTTTGAGAATAAGGGTAACTTCTATGTTATATTCCTATCCTATGAGAAAGAGATGAATGACCATATTTCTGTATGGAGATTTAACTAGCAAACTAGTGTTCTGAGTGAATCTATGATATTATAAAGAATATTAAAACTAGGTTTTAATTTTTGCCGATTCGTTTAGCAATACGGATTGAGCACTTTCCATTTGCCCTGTCCTCTATTTGGCAGCAAGAGCCCTGAGGGTTTAGGACACATCCCTCTTCCCCTAGGAGCTTCTGTGTGTGCCTTGCTATTAGAATATTCTTGTATGAAATGGGAGGTCTTCATTGATAGGATGCTAGAAATGATATTATTAGCTGCTGTAAGCAAAGCCTGTGTCTTCCATTGGACCTGACGCTCTAACTAACACCATTGTGTGTACAGGGTGGGAGTGTGACATACGCTTACTAAATGAGTAAAGAGATTTGTTTTGCTAAACTCTTAGTAGAGGTAATGGCGTAGATTTTCAGAGTTTGGTCTACTGTGCTTTCTCCTTGAGGAGCCAAAGTCTATCTAGGGAGAGAAGATATATGTCCAGGAAGGAGTTAGAGCATATGAAATGGAAAAACCACAAAATATGAACATGTTTCGCCCCAAGCAAAATAGCCACTAGTTTGATCCATTAATCGTGCATAGTGATCAGCATTTTTTATTTCTAGACATTGACAGCCCCCAAAACCTGGTGACTATCCGGGTGACGGAGACCACAGCCACCATCTCCTGGGAGCCAGTGCAGGCCGTCATCGACAGGTACATGGTGCGCTACACCTCCGCCGATGGAGACACCAGGGAGGTTCCGGTGGGGAAGGAGCAGAGCAGCACCGTCCTGACAGGCCTGAGGCCGGGCATGGAGTACACGGTCCACGTGTGGGCCCAGAAGGGGGACCGGGAGAGCAAGAAGGCCGACACCAAGGCTTCGACAGGTAACAGCAGGGAGGAGAAAAACAAACTAGGGTCATCACTATGGATTGATCTGTTGGGATCTGTGATGAGGTTACTCTGATGAGGGACTCTGGTGTGTTTTAGGAGAGTTTACTGTAAAAAAACCTTCATTTACCTAAAGAAAAAACAGAGCAATCTCATGAATATCTTTAAACTCTTTCCCAAAGCCTGTGTTATTAACCACTGTGCTACTCAGTTATAGGCAATTATAGAGAACAAGTTAAACCAATATAAAATTTCTACACCACTGGATTAAAGAAGTGTTCTGTGGCAAGATATTTTATGTAGGTTTGACTTAATAGATGGTGTGTAGTTTGAAAGAACAAGTATTGTCCATGACAGCTGGAGCTCTATGTTCATTTCTACATGAATTAAATTTTCTAAGTGCCAGGCTTGGGATATAGTGGTGAACAAAACAAATATGATTCCTTTATATGATTCTAATTATCTTAAAATCCAGTGGGAAAGATGGACCATCAGCAAACAAACAAATTTCTATTGTAAATTATAAGTTCTGTGAAGGACATGAACATGGTGTAGGTATAAAGAATGACAGGGTAGGGATGTTTCTTAGATGGTATGGAGTAATAGTTAATAATGTTGACAGAAATATCTAAATAACAGTTGCTTAAATAAGAAAGAAGTTCATCTCTTTCTTGTGGAATGGTCAGAGTGCAAGTAGGCCAGGGCTGGTATGACAGAGGACCCAGGTTCCTTCCGTATTGTTGCTCAGTCATCCTTCAGGAGTTGTCTTCATCTATATTGTCATCACGTAACCTCACTCCAGCTTGTGGAAAGGGGATGAGGAAAGGAAAGGACATGACAGGAACATTGTAGGTGTCAGTTTTTCTCACATCCCATTGGTCAGATCCAAACTCCAGACATGGTGCCAGACCTTAAGACAAGGGAAGCTGGGAAATGAAGCCTTTTACTGGATGGCCACATGCCAAATGTAAACTTCTTTTATACTGTCCTTTCTAACCTACATGTGGTTATATTACATTTTAATGAATTAAAACTAGAATAAAAAAATATTTCCTCGGTTGGACTAGCCACATTTCAAATGATCAATAGCCACATGTGACTAATGGCTACTACATTGGACAGTGTAGATAAAAGAGTATTTCCATCAGTACAGAGAGATCTTTGGATAGTATGCTTGTAGAAGGAGAGGAGAATGGATAGTGGGGAAAACTAGACATTTCTGGCCAAGGGAACAGTATGTGTGATGGCTCTAAGCTGCAACAGCATGCAATGCTGAAGAACTGAGTGGATGTTGGTGTTGCTGGAGCGTGGAGGGCGAGAAAGAAAGTGGCCCAAGATGAGGTGAAAAGAGGCAAGAAGCAGATCATACAGGACCACGTGCTATATTTATTGGAAGAGTGACATGATGTGATATTCATTTTAAAAAGGTTATTCAGACCATAGTGTGAAGAATGAATGAAAGAGACGGCAGGTGGAAGTGGGAAGAGTAGTAAAGAGGCTTTGGTAAAAGTCTGGTGAGAGACGATGATGATTGGCACACGGGTGATGGCAGTAAGGTAGAGAAACGGGGATCTCTGGGCACATATTTTGGAGGTGATGACAGGGTGTGTTGATGGGTGAGATGTGGGGCAGGATGAAAATGAGGGATGAAGTATGATCGGTGTTGGGGCATCATTTTCCGAGAGGTAAATGGCTTTGGGGAGGAACATTAAGATGTTTAGCTATGTAAGCTTGGATACTTGTGACCTATTTTGGTTAATTGAGTGATTTATTTTTTGATTCCACACATATTCATTGAGTGTCTAATACCAGCCAGGCACTGTAGTAGATAAGCAATTGTAGATATAGGTGGGGGCTCAGAATTGATATTGGGGAGCCAGAAGCATTCAGTTGGTATTTACAGTTGTGGGTATGGGTGAGATCACCTAGGGCAGTGGTCAGCAAACCGCAGCTCACGAGCCACATGCGGCTCTTTGGCCCCTTGAGTGTGGCTCTTCCACAAAATACCACGTGCGGGCGCGCACGTACAGTGCGATTGAAACTTCGTGGCCCATGCACAGAAGTCGGTTTTCGG